CGCTCATGGAACATCCAAGGGAGTCTCGGATCGGCAATTAAATCATAGCAGGCATGGGAAGTGTTCTTGAAGTGGATCAGAGAGGTGATCGGTAGTCTTGATAGGATTTCGAGCAGTATATCCAGTGGGAGATCATGAAGATCTCTCCGGACCATCGCTCCTTTGGAAGGATCATCTGCAAGTTTGACTCTTTTCTTCTCTCTTTCCTCTTCGGCATCCATCCCTTTTACAAGCAAATAAAGCTGGAGATCAATTTATGTAACCATGCCTTCGAAGCTTGAAGATATATATAGAAAAAGAACCCCTAAACGGATTTGCTCTGGATTTGCCATGCCTAAACGGATTTGGTCTGCCCAACGGGTGACCGGGCCGGGCCAGGATAGGGTTGCGTCGAAACGGGCAACCGATTAAACGGGTTGCGTTATAACTGGCTTTGGGCAAGTGAAAGTTGATCCTAACCCGTCATGATAGATCATGAGTTGAAAGAAGTTGAACAATTTTTTTTTCTTTTCTTTTTTTTTTTTGATTTTTTTTTTTTGAACAAGTTTGCAAGTGTCGAACCATTACCCTGAAGATGGGGGAATGCTTTTATACATAATTTAATGTCATTGAACTTAAAAACCCAAATACATATATATATATATATATTTTTTGCTCTTTTTACTTTTTAAATCTAAAGTAATCTAAACAAAATGAGTCTTGGAAAAGAGCCAACGAACAAAGTTCTATAAGCAGGCTCTTAATTAACTATCAATTAGAAAAATTTGAATGTAGGTAAGTGATGCGGTTGACTGTGTGGCTATGCAATAAAGTAAATATTGAAAAATGATATTTTTGGGGGAAAAAATTAGAAATAAGCAATGAAAAACAATAAATTTATAGATTAATGTATGTTTAATTCTAAGATCATACAACAATGAAAGATAATTTCCAAGCACTCATCAACCACATGAAGCCTTAAATTCTTTATATAGTTAATGTAAACTTGGAAAATAAGTATAATAGCCTTTTTGTTATTAGACATATTATTTCCTCAAATTGACGCACCGAATACTAAAAAACAAATATTTAGTATGAGTATATATATTTTTAAGAGTGACATTTTAACTTAGACCTCTTAAACTTTGTATGAGAATTCTTTTACAATGGATATATGACTATTAGGTCACAATGTTCTTATACTATTATTAGTATATATTTTGGTTCTTATACCATTATTAGTATATATTTTGAATATATTTAGAGTTTGATAAATTTTTAATTCAAACTACATATTAAAAAAATATTTTGATTATTAAAATTATTAAATTATTATTAATAAATAATCAAACCTCAACAAATTTTATTAAAGACATTTTAATTTTTAAATTTTAAATTACATTTTTAATGTGCAATTTGATATTAAAAATATTTATTTATTTTTAATAAATTTAATTTTTTTATTTTTAAGACATAAATTTTAAATAAAAATTTAGTGATTTATATGAATCATGATTAAAATTTTTTTATCCCTATATATAATTTTTATTAAATATTTTTATTTGATTAAAAAATTTTAATTATTGTATATGTAGATTATGAAATTTTTATTTAAAATTTATATTTTAAATGTCAAAAAATTAAACTAGATTTACTAAAAATAAATAAATTGATTATATTTTTCTGCACATTTAAATGTACTACGTATTAAAAGCATACAATTTAATTACTAACATTTATTTGATTTAATTTAAAAATGATATAAGTATTTATAATTAATGTTACATTTTTAATAATAATAATAATATAATATTAAATAAATACTATATCATTTCAAATAATTGACCCTCTGAATACTAGAATGCAGATCTTTACTAGGAGTGTGTATATTTTATCATCAAATTCAAATGTCAATTTTATCAATTAATACAACTTTCATAATTGATAATTATGATTTTTCAATTAAAAATTCCTAGTTCCCAATAATTGATGTATATCTCAAGAATAAAACTCCAAGCCTTAGAATTTAAAATTTTAATCTTCATTTAATAAAGTTTTGGTTATGGGTTTTTAGTTTTTATTTTTTTATAAATTTAGTAAATAATATTATATTTAAATTAAATTTAATAAATTAAATATAATAATAATTACTAAATATATAAATCCCAAAAGTCCAAAACTCAAAACCAAAACCACCATAAATGAATTAAAGAACCTTAAGTTGAGGGTGATGAGAATCCTTGTACTCATTTATATAACACAATTTTAATTCATTTAAAAAAAAAAAAAGAAGAAAAGAAAAGAAACCCTTAAGTTGAGAGGTCTATGGTATATAATCAATTTTAAAAACTATTTACATATTGAATGACAACTCATCTATTGTATAAATAAATTCTATATTCCTTTTTGCATTAATAGCAAGTGATGAACTTTATCTTTTGTTTGGCCAAATAGCATCAAGGTATATCTTCATTATCTTCATCAGATGAATTGTCTAGTCATAATTTTTAGACAAACTACAAACACTTTAATCCTTTAATAATTTAGGTCAATCATCTCCCTACAAAGATTTGATTAATTATTCAATAATTTAAATAATTTAATAGTAATTTTTCTAATAAAAATAAAAAAATTTAAATTTAAATCATATAATATGTGGTAAGTTGAGTTAA